TAGAAGGCGATGTGACATCTGCCAGCTCTCTGGGTGGACCTGTAACATGTTTTACAGGAAGCTTAATTAACCTTCCCAGTTCTCAATAGCACGCAGAGCTTGTCCAGGTCCTGCAACTGCCAATTGGCTTCTACCCGCTATAGATGATTATATGTATCACTGGGTTCACAGCCAACTATGTGCTCTCTGCCCTAGGTCATGTCAAGGGTAGGAGCTGCTTAAATGTTTTCAAACAGACATACACTCTGAAAATTATACATACACAAAAGCAGAGAAATCATAAATGCCAGTGATGATGGAACTGGCTGGATCACTGTGGTAGTCTGGCCCCACCTGTGCATCAGTGTTGCAAATGAACAGGATAATGGCATTGATACTCTTTCCAACCTGATGTTTCACAAGTGCCTTGAAGATGTTGATAAAATGATTACAGCACTGGAATTGAACACAGGTCTCCTGGAAGAGTAGTCAATGCTCTTAACCGCTGAGCCATCTCTCCAGACTCTTGAACAATGTATCCTTAAATTTGTTGGCAAGTGACCTTCATGTGTTGTTAACTCTGCCACAAGCCCTCTGCACTGACCTTGAAACAGACTATCCGCTCTTTCGGAAAAGGGGAAATGATCTTGTTATTCAAATAGGGGTTTGGTTATAGTGATGACAAAAAGAAAGGTTCCGGGTATCAGGGAAGTCTCTCATACTACACAGCGAGAAAGGACAGAGATGGGAGCTTAGTGGGGCAATGGTTTGGGAGTGAACCAGCAAGAAAACGAGGGTAGCATGAGAGAAACCAGTGAAACTGAGAAACAAGTAGAGACAAACCGCTGAACAGATCTTTGTCAGAAGAGGAAGAATGACTCCCCCAAAGGGTAGGGCTGTCAAGCAGTTCCACACAGCCACAGGAGAGTAGACTAGGTCATCCTCTACTGACTGTAAGCATCTTGACCATGGAGGGGACAGGTGAGAGAGATCATAACAGCACATGGAGGAGCTGAAGAACCACAGGAACCCCTGGCTTATGTCCTTCATTGGTGTTGACGTCTGTTCCAAGCTTTCAATACACTCACTGTCATCACAGGAAGTGGTTTTCGCCTCCCAGGGAGATTACAGCAGTGAACGAGGAAAGGGATTTAGTCTGCCATTTGAACACAGGCAGCTCTAGGTGGAAGAGTCTGGAAGCTACCAGTCTGATGGAGAAGGGTAGGGAGCAGTCATGGAAACAAGCATGACAGGAGATGAAAAGGGGTGGGAGAGGGCAGAGCTCAGGGGAAGTTGGCTACTTCAGAGTAAACAAAGTACAAGCCCAGAAGCCATTTACAGGGGAATGGTCGTTGGGCCCTTCTCATGCAAGGGCCTGGGAAAGGATGGGGTTAGGTCTAGCAAGGAAGCGGAAGCAGGAAGTAGTCAGATTGGGTATGGACATCCCAAGACAAGTGCAGAGCCAGCTCAGTTCACACTGACATGCACCTGCCAGATCTGTCATTTAAGTAGAGTGGAGTTTCTTCTGGGGAGAAGCCATACTTACCTCTCCAGGCAGAGACCACAGCCCATCTCCCAACCACAGAGCACTACACCTAGGAGAGCCCATCTCGTGGCTCCCATTTCACTTGACTTTTGTGTTTTGTTGGTGCCAGGAAACCAGGCAGTGATGTCACTTTCTGACTTGAGTAACCTGCCAAGCCTTCAAGCATTAGCAGGAAGTCAGCCTACAAACAGCACCCCACTGATGGCTTTAAGAAGGACTGAACAGTCTGCATGTGCACACACAGAGCAGCTGGCCCCAATGCCTAAGGTTTCCCAGACCTGACAAATATACTACTTACTATCTTATATACAAATATTTTAGTCACTGGTTCTTAGAAAAGTTGGTCAGCATAAATGATAGCCTAAATGAAGACCATGAGAGCTAAACAACCATTTTTTCTAACTCTTTTAGAGCAGACACAGCAATTTCCCAATATATTTGTGAGTTTGAAGAAGGTACAGACAGAAACCTAACATGGTATGACTGGAAGGTTCTGATGCTCTTCCCCGTTGGTCCTGTAGAGGGAGCTAGACAGTTTGCAGTATGGGATTTTATGCTAGGACTGAGCAAATGAAGTTTGGGGCAGCACAGTCTGCAGGTGTTTCTTGATTAGGCTTTGTAAGTAGCAGTGGAGAATAATGGGGACCGAGTGATAAGGTGAATTTTTAACAAAGTCTCAAAACAGCTTACTTACTGGTTTGAGGACCAGTTATGATCTGGCTCCACTTGATAATTAAATGTTTCCCCTTTATGTGTATGGATGATTTTGCCTGCATGCATGTCTTTGCATCACATGTGTGAAGTACCAGAAGTGGCCAGAAGAGGACACTAGAACCTCTGGGATTAGAGTAACAGATGGCTGTGAGCCACCAGGTGCTGGGAATTGAACACAGGTCTTCTGGAAGAGTAGTCAATGCTCTTAACCTCTGAGCCATCTCTCCAGCCTCTTGAACAATATATCTTTAAATTTGTTGGCAAGTGACCTTCATGTGTTGTTTTCTCTGTTGAAATACTGAAGAAAGGAATTCATAGCCTAGTTTTGAAAACCACAGCTTGGTAAGATAAAAACGTAGAAAGAAAATGCAAACCTGTGTCACTCCAAGGATTTAGAACAACTAAGAACACAGAAGAACTTCTGTACTTGCCAGTTTAGAATGGGAATAGAAAAAAGTGCCCAAAGTTCCCCCTTTGAGCCTTTGTCTGGGGCTTATGTGAACGGCACAAGGGGTACAGTCTGTCTGTGGGCTTCTGGGTGCTCGTGGGAGGTGTGAGCTCTGGCCTGATTTATATGCTCCAGATATGGTCCTTCTTCCCATTCCCGGCATCTCTCTTTCCCCTCCCTTTTTTGAGACAGCATCTCAAGAATCCTATCCTGGCTAGAACTTGCTATGTAGCCAGAGATGACTGTAAACTCCTATCCTCTCGCTTCTATCTCCTGAATCCTGGGGTGACAGGATATACCACCATGCCTGGTTTATGGGGTCTTGAGGATCAAATCCAGGGCTAATTGTATGCTAAGTAAGTACTTTATCTATAAGCTACATTCTTAGCCCCCCCCCCCCCCGTTTTTTTTTTGTCTTATTTTTGTGGTTTTCTTCTTCTTTTTTTTCTTTTTCTTTTCTTGAGACAGGATCTTTATATAGATCAAGCTGGTCTTGAACTTACAGAGACTTGCCTCTGCTTCCCAGGTGGTGGGATTACAGGTATATGCCACTATACCCAGACATAGGCTTTACATTTTTTTAGTATATATTTTAGAAATATTTGCTTAAGGTTTAATTTATGTATATGAGTATTCTGCCTGCCTGCCTGTATGTATGTATGTATCAGCACAATGTATATGTCTGGTGCCACTGAGGTCAGAAGAGGGCATCAGATCCCCTGGAACTGGAATTGTAGATGATTGTAAAACACCATGTGGGAACCAAACCCAGGTCTTCTGCAAGAGCAACAGTGCTCTTATCCACTAAGTTATCTCTCTAGCCACCCTTGCCCAGGCCATTTCTTCCCAAGCATTACCTATAGGTGCCTAACAGCAGAGTGGATGGTATAGCTAAGGGTTTCAGATGGGAAGCCCTCATGAATATAGAGCTGTATGTGTTCATTCATGAAGAACAAACACAATGTTAACATACAATGCTAAGAGGAAGAAAATACTTCTGTGAGTGAGGTGGGTTTGAAAAATCTGAAAGATGGAAACATTTAGTGGTGTCTGTATGGGTGCTGTTCTGTCTCCTCGAGAGAACTGAACACTATTTCTACTTCCTGCTACTTTTGAGTTGACCTGGGAAATGTAAAGTGTTTCAGGGATGAGTAGTTATTGCTTCAAATCCTACATGACTACTACCAGTCACAGCCATGGGTTGGTGACTAGGAAATGAGGGGCAGGGCTTGGCATTTCCCCTCCATTTTTATAACTATAAGGGGTAACAGGATTGTGAATATAGGATCTGGTAAAACCATGACCTTTAACTGATTAGGCACTAACAACTTTTATGAGTGTGGTGGTGGTGTATACATAAATAACATCTTTTAGGCCATTAAAACAACAATTGTCTCTTAAAGAGTAACCCAATTGCATATCAGAGGTACTTACAGAGGCCATTTGGGGATTTGTCTGATGCTGTCCAGGTTTCTGCTTCCTAGCTATAGAAATTTACATCTGACTTGGCATTACATATCCACTAAAATAAGATCCTTAATGAAAGGAAAAGAGTTGAGCAAGTACTGAGGGACTATGGCCATGCAGCACAGTGTACTGCACGAATGAGCTGCTCCACCAGCTTAGATAGGGTTATCTTCCAGCTCCCTATCTTCCCCTCCTATAGCAATGGACCAGCATTTAAAATTGGCAACAATCCATTCAAGCAGCTAAAAAGGTTATGGTCACTACTGGTCATCCCCCAAGAAGAGGAAGGCAATGAGTCCTCAAAGTAGAGGTCATGTAGAGGCATGAGTTTGCACTAGTGGATGAAGGTCAAGAACTCTGGAATACTGCAGAGGAAATGGCCTACAACAGGAAATCAATATGCAAATAAATTTTCATCTTGCTGTGGAATGACTCAGCTTGTGTTCCTCCTGCAAGAGCTGCACATGGGGAGAAAGGGCTGTGGCCATGCCTAGGCTCCATGGAGTGCGCCTAGTGAGGACTATGTAGAGTGGGGAGAATTTGTCCTAGACCTTTTGCCAAGCCTCCCAAGGGAGAAGCCACTGCTTTGAAAATCTTACAATTTGAACATGGTCTCCCCATAAACCAACCCGATGCTCCTAGAAGGCCTCTGAGGTGGCCATAGTGGATGCAGCATGAGCTGAGAGAGCCTAAGAGATGGCTGAGAAGAGGTGCTCATTTCCTCTAACACATCATCTGCGGGGGCTGTGTTGGCACTGACAGAGCAGGCAAGCCTGCTCAAGCATCTAGCTTAGGCAGACATACAGAGAAAAGACACACATCAAGACAAAGATAATCTCTTCATACCTTCATCTCTTCTTCCATTTCTGACATTTTCCGTTCCAATGCCCGCCTCTCCTGTTTAGAAACAAAGAACTTGTTGAAGCGGTAACAGGCCAGGAAGCAAACATAAAGCTACATCCCACATGTTGCACCATCAGCAGCTTCATGGTCTCAGGGTCCATCTAGCCCAGAGCAAACCTTTCTCCATATGTGCACTTCTGCCCTACTGCCATGGGATGGAGCTACTTCACCTAAGTCTTCTATCAGAAAACTGGAAGATACAGGGGCAGCAGCCTGTTAGCAGACAAGCAGACCAAGATCCATTGTCTTTAGTAATACTACACCCACGTTCCCAGGGAACTGCTTCTTTTATGATGGAGAACACATGGTCAGTGGAAGTAGACATGGGTGTCTGCCAGCTTCTCCCCTCCTCCTCCATGTCTCATCCAGCTAGTAACTCTTAATTTAGCTTGAACTCAATGAGGAGTCTTTAATCATATGAGATACAGGCCAAGGTAATGAAATATAAAACTTAGCTTTTTCCAAACTAAACAGACAAGAAAGATGGTAACATACTATATCCTTATAGTCAAATTGGAATTAGAGTTCATCACTAAATCTAATTGAGTTTTCCCAATCCAAGAACATCAAGTCCCAGATAAGCATCTGAGTACAGCTGGGACCAGGGCAGGAATCTGACCAGAGGACTGATGAAGGCTGATTCTCAGGTCTTAAATCACAACACCTAAATCAATGGCAAGGGGTCTTCATGAAAAACCTCCTTTTAAAATGTGCTTGTGTGCATGCACACATGTGTACCACAGTGTGCGTATGGAGGTCAGAGATCAACTCATAGAAACCAGTTCTCTCCTTCCACCGTGTGTTCTGCTGACTGAAGCCAGACTGGCAGGCTTGTATGTATAAGCACGTTTACTGCTGGGCCACCTCACTGGCTATCTTTTTCTTTTGAGGTTAGGTTCTGCTATGTAGCTGTGGATGGCCAGGAACTCACTATGTAGTGCAGACTGGCCTTGAATCTGACCATCCTGCTTCTGTCTCTCCAATGTGGAGCTCACAGGTTCATGTCACCACCCCCCAGCTCAAAGTGTTCTTTCTGTCTAAGGTCTCAGAAGGGGCAGATATCTTCAGACCTGTGTATACATGTAAATAACCAAATATCTTACAGCTTGTGTCTGTGTGCAATTCTGAAGAACGCATGAGATGATGTCCCAAGACTCCTTCCCACCCTAAAGCTGGCATGTTCAAAGTAACTAACTACATGAGAAGGCCAAAAGAACTGGCCATCAAATTACTGTCTAGAGTCAGACCAAAAAAAAAAAATATTAAGCTGGAATGGAATGTGGCAGAGCTCCCGCCTTCTTAAGATGAACTTTTTCCATTGGCACCAACAACAAAGTTAGAGAAGGTCAAGAGAAGACGTGAAGCAGGCGGCCAAGGAGGCGTACATACCCGTTTCTCCATCTCCAGCACCGATGACCGGTCAGAGGACTTCTCTTGCTTCTGCTGTGTGAACAGAAAGGAAACACTTGTTATTTAGGTTCTTTTACATGTCACCCCCGACATCCAGAAAGACAGCAGGTTTCTGGGCTTTTCCTTTAGCAAGGACCTTAGCAAAGAGACTGTGAAAGATTGCTAAGTCCAGCACTTTACTTGAACAAGAATGTAGGGTGGCCACTGGGCAGTGGAAGGAATAGTCCCTGAAGCCCAACACGTGAGTACAGATGTTACTCATAACACACATACCCGACCTTGCCTTCCCTCTCCCTTTAGACTACACACTCCAACACTAACTACCTTCTTCCCGAATCCCCCCACCCTGCCTCTTTTAAAGGCTGGGATCCCCTGTACTTCAGTGCCTGCGCCCCGTGGCACTCTTGTCCACAAGTTCTTTCCCTGTTGCTTCTGTTCTGAGCACTGAGACAATTTTCTTTCTAGTGTGGTGGTCTTCAGACAAGGCAGTCTTCTCAGCCACTTTCTTGTGTCTGAACAGAGTGGTTCCACTTTTATCTGTTTGGTTTCCTTCTTACTCTGTTAACAAGATTTTATCTGAATAAAGGCTTTACAATATATATTTAGATTATCATTGATACTTTCAATTTCAGTCTTTCAGAGGAGTGAAAAGATTTGGTCACAAAACCTAAGAAGAGTAATTTCAGGTATAGTCCCACCTTAGAAGAAAGCATGGAGGAACCTGTAAGTCTTCTCTGGTCTCAGCATTATAGGACTGGGTGAAATTTTGTAGATTCAACAGACATTTAATGAATAAAGAATAGTGATTTTATCTTGTCTAGTACAATGCCCAGACATTTGCAATAAATGGGGACATTAGGCGGGTTCTGCAGAAGGTTCCCTCCCCTTCCCTCCTTTTTTTTTCTTTCTCAATTACTGAATAGCTAAAACTGACAATAAAACTTGGAATTCTGGCTCTCATCCTAGATTTTTCTCTTCTGCTCTGAAGATCATGGCTGTCTGCCTCTCTACTGCATCTGCTAGGGCAGAAAGGACGGGGAAAATGCATTATTAGATCTTGGAGTTTCTATCTTCCTTCATCTTTTCCCTAAGCTTGACAAGGAGAATACAAAGAACTAGCTTTTTGTTTGCTTATTTAGTTTTAAATTATAACTTCCTTGATTTTGAGTCGATCTTTTATGTAAAATGCTGCAAGTGTCCATGTGGGAACTGTCTCCAAACAAACGCATGAGGCTGACAGTCCCCCCGCCCCAATCCTACCAAACATCTCCATTTTTGGTAAATAGAGACTTGATTGTAGCACCATCATTTCTTTCTGAGCTTCAAATAGCTTGCGTTTGGTAAAATTAAGTATATCCCGGCATACGTAGCAACGCAGCTGGTGGCAGAAAATGCTGCCCAGTGGCCGGGAAAGGCTGATTCTATTCTGTGTGGGTCACTTTGCGCAGCTTGTTGTGCTGCTGGGACACCTCACAGGCTCTGGCTGAGGAGTGGCCACATTGCTTTCCCTGTATGTTCTGCGATGGGTGCAGCTTCTGGGGACAGCTTAAAGGCTGCACTTAGTTCTACCTGCTGCCCATCTGGAAGCGCTTTAAAACCAAGACCATTAACCCCGATATCTGACTCAAGATTTTTTTGCCCAATTTAGTAATGCAGAGGGGCAAGTGACAAGCTTACTTATGTGGTGATATTTTGTTTGTGATCTAACAAATAAAGCTTGCCTGAAGACCAGAGTGCAGAGCTAAGCCACTAGTTAGCCACAGAGACCAGGTGGTGGAGGCACACATCTTTAATCCCAACACTTGGGAGGCAGAGGCAGACAGATCTCTGTCAGTTTTAGGCCACCCAGGGCTACACAAAATTGATCCAGTCTAAAAGAGAAACAGAGCCAGGAGGTGATGGCTCACACCTTTAATCCCAGGATTTGGGAGTCACATGCCTTTAATCCCAGTACTAGGAAGGTGGAGACAGGAAGGGGTATGGCTTGGGCAGAGAGAGGAATACAACACAGGAGGAGTTGGGAGCTCACAGCATTTAGTCTGAGGATTCCAAGAGACAGGATCATCCATTTGGTCTGAGAATCAGGTAAAGGTAAGAACTAGTGGTTGGCTGCTTTGCTTCTCTGATCTTTCAGCATTAACCTCGATATCTGACTCAGGATTTTTTTTTTTATTGTTAAAACCAATTAGAATTCATGCTACATCACCCCCCACACCTATGATAGGGTTCTAATTGTGTTGTCAATTTTAATTTTTGTTTTATAAAATGGCTTAACACCTAGTATGTGTTAGCTGTAGGTCTCAGAAAGTCTGGTAAGAGCCATATTTAGTTCCTGTCACCCTCTTTGCTCCCTGTATATCCCATGTCAGAGAGGTTACAATAAGATGCTAAGATGGTACTCAACCCCTCTCCCACTGTATACCACATGCTTGCAACACCATGAACCTGTAATTTCATTTTTGCTTTTAGATTATATCATATTCCTAGATTAAATAGCCACCTCTGGTTTCATATCCTTATAAAGAGCCACTTTTACCTCAGTTCTGCTTTTGAAATTCTTAGTTCCCAGGCATACTGTGATAGGCTTCCTTTTAACTCTGCAATAATCCAAGCTAGGCTGCTGTAGCTTTCAGCTGCCAGGCAATGAGATCACTATCCCAGCAGCCTCCCAAGCTCTGTGTAATTAAATCAGGCCTAGCAGTAAGAGGGAGTGGCTAATGGCAGATGCAAGGGGGACGCTTTCGGTCCAGGGCAGAGTCTTCCTGGGACCTAATCTGGAACTACTTCACCCCCTGATGTAACACAGCACTCAGTGATTTGGGGTTGTTTGGGGCTCTCTGTACTTGGGTATGATGTTCTGCTAATTTCTCTCCATGAGGCGAGGGGCAGAGGCACTGAGCTGAAGCATGAGCAGGACAGGATGCACGATCTAGCGCTGACCCAGTGCTGGCCTGACTTACTGTGTAGTGAGAAGTTATGTTAATATTAATTACTAGCACTCATAACATCAGGAAGTTGTTCAGGTAACTTAACTATCAGTTTTCAGTTAAGTTAAACAATCATTGACCCCTAAAACCTCAAAATTAGACTCTACAAAACTTTCATCTGATCAGCTCTGAGGAAGTGCTACTTTGAGTCTATCCCCCCAACCAGCCCCCAGGATATCTAGTGTCTCGTTATGAATGTCCCTGCTGCCCCTGCTCTGCTCTCCCTCCCCTTACCTGGGCCATCTTCTCAAGCTTGGATTTTATATCGGCTAGCTCTAGCTGGGCCTCCTGAAGTTTTGTTTTCAGTTTTTGGTTTTCGGTCAGGGCACTCTCGTAGAGCTGTGAAGGGAACAGAACCAAGTCACTGAGTGGGCTCCCAGCAGGAGAACTCCACTTTCTGCTCCAAGCCACACGGTGAACTGAGTGGAGAAGGGGGAGGGGTTTATGGAGAGTCGCTGTTCTCTGGCTTCCAGAGAGCACGAGCTGGAAGGCAAGGAGAGAGCGACACTCTGAGAAAACCAGTCACCCGGCCCTCCCACATGGTCTCTGCACTGCCTAAGTGTGGCTTCTAGACAGAACAGAGTTACTGTTTCTGGAACCACTGTGTGGATTTTTGTCAAATTCTGCTTAACAAAAACATCAACAAAGAAAAATTTCCTTATTCAAATGTTATCTCAAACACCTCAGAGGGATTGTTTTCAAAGTCCAAAGAGCAAGAACCAAGAGAAATGGGATCTAAATGACTTAACTCCTCTCCAGGACCAGAGACATGGATGAGAATGAATTTCCAAAAACTCACACCAAAAAGTATTTGGTTGATAATCAAAACACCTTATTAAAAGCACCTGTTTCTTAAAAATAAGCCTAACCAAATAGTTCTACAGGCTCAGATATATAGCATTACACTTTTTCGTGTTCTTCAAAAAATTCTTACTTTCCCCTATACTTCTAAATATTTGATTCTAGGCATACACTTACTGCAATAAAAATAATATGCAAATAGCCCTTAGTGGGTAGAAAGGTGAAACAAAGAATTAATTACCTTTTGTATTCTTTATTTAGAATTTTGGTCACTTTTTTCCGTATTGGGAGAAAGGCTAAGAGGTTTATACATCATAAACCAAAACCAGGAAACCTGGAAAGAGATCCTACTTTTTTATAATCCCTGTTGGTGTCCTCTTCTACCCGGCTGGTCAGGCTGGCTAGGCGGGCCTCCCGGGCCTCCCGACGGGCTCTTGCTGAGGCACGGTCACTGTAAGAATCACTGCTGGTTGGATTACTGCCTCCTGACTCCAACCTATAACATAAATGTTGAAGAGAAAGTTGGTCTTGAGAATAAAGTGTGTGTGTTTGTTTATAAAGCCTAAGGCTAGTCTTTGCCTTTTCTGGGAGGTGTTTGAGAGCTCTGGCCAGAAACTTGCCTTCCTTAAATCTCTTAGCCAGAGGGCCAGGTCTCATGGTCACACACTGCACAGGTGAGTGTGCACAGGAAGAAGCAGGCAGCTTGGGGAGCGAGGCCATCATTTGCCAAGAGTGGCGCTCACTTGAAAAATTGGTGGCTTGGACCCATGTGCTGTTTTAAATCTTAGAGCTTTCAAATTAATTTGGAATTGAATAGATTCCCTAAAGAGTGTGCCTTTAATAAGTCAAAGTTTCTTGGGTCTGAAGGGCTCTCGGAAAATGATTCTAATGAACTGTCTGTGAATTAGAAACACATGGGCTCGGAGAGTGAGCTGGCCGGTAGAGAGGAGGAGTGGCAACCGGAGTCAAACAGCCTCAAGCAGCCCATTTCCCCCTCTATTCCATGTCAAGACTTGTCCCTGTAGCTAACTAAGTTTTCTACATCTTCTGGTAAGTGAGCTTCTAAAGCAGCTGGTGGTCTTGTTTCCAGCCCTGCTCAGCGTGTCAGGGAGAAGTCTCTCGCTAATTACCACTTTGGTGTCCTAGTGTCGTTCTAACCCTTCACCCCAGCTTCTCTTCCTGAGCTCTGCTCTTTGCTAAGTGTAGCACATACCAAAGTCTGTGTACACACCAGCCTCCCAGAGCCCTGAGCCCTGGACTGCTTCGGTTTGCACCGTCACAGCTGTGAGAACTTGTCTGGTTGCTGCAGAAGCTGTGGGCAAAGCTGGAGGAGCTGAAGTGGGGCAGAAGACGGTAACAGCGAGGGCAGTGTGGCAGAGGGGTGGTTGCAAAGGAAGCTGGGCCACTCTAGGGCCGCTCTTAGAGACGCTAGGACCTGTCTTGTTCTTACCCTCCCACTCGCTGTTCATGGAAATCTTGGTATTAATACTTTTTCTGACTACAAAAGCAATACATTAAGAAATCTCAAAGTAACTACCCCATAATCTTGCCCAAGAAATAACTGTGATTAACAGCAGATTTCATATACTTCTGGAATGTCAAATGTTCAAAAAAAAAAACCATATTCCCATAAAGCTAGCTAAGATCTACACATACAGTGTCTAACTCCTACTGCCTATATCTGTGATTCTCTGGGAATTTTAACATGCGAGTAAAAATAAATTTCTTCCTTTAAAAAATGACTATATAGTTCATTCCATGGTTATCTGGTAATTTAACCAAATTTCAGTGGACACATTGCTTCAAGATTTTTAGCTACTAATATATCTATTAACAATGCTAAAATGTTAAAATCTTCTAAGTTGGCTAATTACCTTTTTTGGTGGTGGTTGTTTTCTGTTTGAGACAGGGCCTCCTACAGCACTGACTGACTTCAAACTTGCTATAGGAAAAATGGTATTCTTATGGTCCTATTTTAGTCTTTTAAATCATGAGGGAGGGGTGTGATTATTCAGTGCTTTTGTTTCTGGATGGCTAGTCACATTCTGTTCATTAAGGTAAACAGCTTTCTCCTTTCTCTCGTCATGCCCTGAGATAATGCTCTTACACACTCGGGCTTTTTTACAGATGTCTAATACATCTTACAATTTTTTCCTCTCTTTACAGTAACTTTTTTAATTTTAGAAGCATCAATAGTCTCTTATTTTTATTTAGATTTTTTGAGACAGGGCCTCAGATCGCCCAGGTTGGTCTAGAATTTCCTAAGTACTCCAGGCTGGCCTTGAACTCCTAACCCCCCCTGCTGGGATTAGAAGTGTGAGTCACTATGCCTAGCTAATTACAGCTATTTTTTAATAGCAATGATATGAAATTATATATAATGAAACTTGACACTTTATAATTTTTGGGGTACTATTTGGGAAGGTGTTTCCTATATATAGATAACAAAACATTGTTTTGTACTACTTTTGTAGAAAAGGCTTTTCTTTTTAAAAATATAACTATATGAAATACATTTCTGTTGGTTTTTTAGTATGGATTGAAGGAAGGGTGTATTTCCTCAAAACAAACAAATCAAAATAGTCCATTTTCTCAATCAATAAGTCTGTATCCACCCATGAGATGAAAATTTCACATTATACACATGACTTTTGACAATGTTATAAACTGTTCTGGCAATCTCTTTTCTTATTCTTTTTTACACATTTACTTATTTATATGTACAATGAGTGTGTGAGTGTGGTGGTCAGAAGACAGCTATGAGGAGTTGGTCCTTTCCTTCTACCATGTGTCAGGTGTGGTGGCAAACACCTCTACTAGTTGAGTTATCTCACCAGCCCCTTTGACTTTATTCTTGAACTAGTACTTCAGTATTCTAATCATGAAAAGTTTACGCTATATCCTGAAGTCTATAGAGAAAGTGTGCTTCAATATATGTGGCCATTATAACATAACCGAGTTCTCTAAAGAGGAGCTATAGCAAAACCCTGCTCTTTGATTTAGCAAAGCTAAGCATTTTATGCTACTTTGCAAGTAAATTATTTATTCTTGGTTGGTACTTGGTGAGGGGGCAGGTGGAGGAATAATACATATAAATCTTAGCATAAGTTAACAAGGTAGCGATAGCTCAATTACCAAACAGATTATAAGATCAATTTGCCCTGTGCCACCCCAGAACTACATCTGCTCTCTATCCCTCCTCCTAATTTCTCCATCACAGAAATAGTGGAGAAGAGATTCAAACACAGTTCCAAAGTTGCTATTATTTTAATTTTCTTCTATAGGAAGATGAGTTTTATACCTTAGGGATTATGGGAAAAACTATGGAGGATCTTATTTATTTTAGTAATTGCAAAACAGGCTTTTGATTCATGTGATGAGCTTATGAGATATACAATTGGGTTCACTATAAAGTGAGAATATCATCTCAATTTCAACTCGGGGATCTACTTGGTAATAACTCTGTCTTCTGAACTATCAGATTGGGTTAACTGCCCCTTCCCTGCACCCACAATACCTGCCTGCATGTCTAAAGGGCACTTTCTGTACTCCTCTGAACGGAGTTGTTGCTCCAATAGATCGTAAACTAACTACAGGTAAGGACAAGGCCTGGGACTGATGCTTCAGGACAGTTCATCAGTTGGAAGTAAACAAGGTGAACTGGAAAGAAGGGAGGCTGGTGGCAGGAAGGTGAGCTGAAAGCTGTTGAATAACACTGGGCAGGAGCTAAGTCTGAATTATTGTGGTGACTGAAGAAATGAAGAGGAAGGATATGAAGACCACTACTAAACTATATGACACTAAATTTAACCAGACATGCATTCACTCACAAGAATTAAGCATGCATATAAAACAGAATTCTTACCTAGAAAGTCTTTCATGCTAGAGAAAGGAGACAAAAACAACAAAAAATAGCATTAGCAAGAGACTAATTTATATTTCCATTCATAAATGTACTGTTCAAACCAGATGTCTCAACCTCACCATGGAAATAGGAGTTGCTAAATCAATGAAGGGAAGCAGCTGGACTGTCTGCACAAAGGCCACTCAGCGCTAACTCACATGTCTTTGCATGCTATGGCTCTCCAGATCCCAGGCTCTGGAGACAGCATCCTTTCAAACTGGCAGACCCCCAAACACAAAGTGATCAAATGCTCCCCTCTCCACCAACTAGACCACCAAGCTTGTGCTGCAGGAGTGACTGTCATTGGCTTTCACGTGATACTGAGCCATGTGAGGTGTGATATTGATCCTATTAATTTCCTTCAGTTCCTAACCATCTAAGCCTTCCCCAAGTAAACACTGAAGTTTATAAACACAGAAACTCAGGCAGTTCTTGCCTTCCTCCCAGATCTACAGTAAAGGTGAAAGAATGAAGGAGCTGTGGGGAGGAGGCAAAGTCCCATCCTAGTCCCTAGATGCTGGTAAGAACTTAAAAAAAAAAAGTATTTTGAGATCTCAAAAGAAAAGAATTCATAGATATAAACTATAAACTTAATCCTTGTTTAAAAAAACAACAGTGACTATGTCTATATCTTCCATTTTTTAAAAAAAAACTTATAAATGAAACAAAAGAATGAAGAGAAACAGTGTACAATGCTCTACAATATGAAGAAGGAATCCTTAGCCTGGGAGCAACACTCCACTGCACTGCTTTGTTAAATCCCTGGAAGTCACTATCTGGTCAGCCCACTCTTGTAGATCCCACCCTGACACTGTCCTGGGAAGTGAGCGTCACAGCACCTCTCAAAGGGGGCTTTCTATGGAATTCCTCTTCAAGTCAAGAGTTGTACTTGGAATAGTCACGAGCACTTGTCAAAGGCACACATCCTAATTCCTGTGGGTTCTTTTTCGGGGGCTATGGAATAGAGATGTCTTCTGTGGGTCTTTAACAAGTCCCCAAGCAATTCTATGGTGTAGCGCTAATTAAGTACTGTTAAATTATTTTATTTTTTATTTATTTGCTGTGTGTGCATGCAGGTGGGCATGTGTGCCACAGCACGGTGTGGAGATCAGAGGTGAACATTTAGGTGACAGAGTTTTCTCCTTCCATGTGGGTCCTGGGAACTGAACGCAGATCATCAGGCTTGATAACAAGTATCTTTACCCAGATAATGATCTCGTCCTAACAAACATTTCAGCATGGAGACAGGTCCCTTTTGAAGTTAGACAAAAGCATTTAGAAAGTTTATGGTATATATGTCACATTCTCATATACTTACAGTTTTTTTTTTGAGAATTCTAAAATTCAGAAATCTAGAATTATGACAGTTTTCCCTTTCTTAAATTTGTATATTTGTTTTTGTTGTTCTGTTTTCTTTTTGACAGGATATGGCCTCAAACTCAGAGATCTGCCTGCCTCTGTGTTCAGAGTGCTGGGATTAAAGGTGTGAGTGACAGCCAGCTATAATATGTTTGCCACCAAGTGTGACTACCTGAGCTCAACTCCACATTGTAGATGGTGAGACCCAACCTCCAAAAGTTGTCCTTTGTCTTCTACATGAATGTTGTGGCATGTGGATATACACATACACAATAAATAATTTTTTAAAAAAATGTTATCACCTTTCTACGTAGCAGTGTGTTAAGAGCTGAGCTTATTACTCTCTGTAACAGTGTCCTACGAGCTGGGTACTAGTGGTTCTGTACTCACAGCCATTCAGGAGGTTGAGGCAGGAAGAGCACCTGACCAGAGAGGCTATGTGGGCTACAGAGTGGGCTCAAGGCCACCTTTGTGAAATCTTGTCTCAAAATAAAAAGCAAAAAGAAGTCAGGATGTACAGCTCAGTGGAGCACCTGCTTAACATGTTAGAGACCCTAGCTTCCCAGAACAGGTGGGGGTGAGAGGAAAGAATTAAACTGGGAAGTTAGGGTGTGGGCTATGCCTATTCACTAGCTGTGTGGTAGGATTAGCCTTACAGCACATAGGTGAGTTCAACTCTATTGCCCAGGAAAATGCTAATTGTGACTTATCAAATACTTGTGAATAACTGAGACTGAGCGTCATGCTGGCAAATGTGAAGAGACTATTTTTGTACTTAGAGCCTATGGTATGCAGAGCCTTGTGGGAGAGGCCCAGAGGAAGAGGGCTAGCTGTTTGCATGACTGCGTGCATACTTCATGAGCGCATACTTCAAGAGGGAGACCATGTGAATGTGTGCTGCGCAGGCTCCAGTTAGGACGCTTGCAGAAAGCTGAGTTCTGAGAAGATGATGGTAGAGAACTACACACACACACACACACACACACACAGTTTCAACAATGGCAGTGTATTACTATAGTGAGTGCTTTCAAGTCTTCGCTTAAAAGTCCTTACCTGAAATTCACCCACTAGCTTGTTCCCGGTTAACATCTAGTGCTGACAAATTGAACATGGAAAGTAGTAACCAGAGCCGACTGAATTGTTGTTTCTAAGCGTAATATCCTTGGCTGGCTCTGAGTTCTAATTTCTACCTGTCTAGCGATGAAGCTTAAGCAAGTAACCACCATCCATTGGTAAGAGCTCCATGTGACAACTGGGAGGGAATAGATTCCCTTTCCCATCTCTCTGTTTTTCTGTTACAGGACACTGTGTTGACACTGATGCTTGCTAGTGCAGTGAAGTTAACTTAGTGCCTCTGACCCAGGAAGTTCAACTCACATGCAAACATACGCTTTAGTTTCTCTCATCCTTCTGGGCAGAATAGCCTTATACAGAGTCTGGAGAGCAGAGCAGCCTTCTGCAGTCTCTCCAGAGACAGACCTACGTTCTCGTTTAGATAGAAAAAAAACGACTTGTTTATAACTGAAGACTGGCTTTAGGCTTTATTCCCCCAAGACAGGGTTTCTCTGTGTAGCCCTGGTTGTCCTGAAACTAGCTTTGTAGACCAGGCTGCTCTGGAACTTGAGATCCACCTGCCTCTGCCTCCCAAGTGTTGGGTATGTGCCTCCACCTGGCAGCTTTGGCTTTCTTTTGCTTCATTCTATTGGAATCTAAGAATTTCTAGAGTGTGCACAGACAGGTTTTGTTAACTTTCTGTTTAGCTGACTTCATTTTTCCTAAAATTTGATCTCTCAATTGGAAATGTTCTTCCCCCAACCTCCAGGTCCTTCTTTGTAAATATTCTGCTATAGAATAAGGTTTAATGATATCTTCAGATCTAATTTCTGCTGTGTGAACTCTGGCACCCACCTCTACAAGACTAAAAAGTGTCTTGCCCCACTAAAAGAGGTAAATTAGAATTTTTACTATGTATCAATCTTGGCAATTACATATTATAAAGCATGTTAATCATTCCCATTGATTTGCCCCTATGATAATGACATATAATTAACCTTTTTTCCATTTAGAATGCTTTAGAATCATAATAAAATATGCCCCATCATCACACCAAGTAAAGTTTGTAGATAGTTATTTGACTACACAGTGTGGCTGTGTATACTATATGGTCTCCAGTAAGGATGCTGATGTAAAATACAAATACCTGAAGATGGAGAGATGACTCAATCAGTGGTTAAGAGCATTGACTGCTCTTCTAGAGAACCCTGGCTCAATTCCCAGCAAAAACATGGCAGCTCACTACTGTCTATAACTCCAGTTCCAGGGGATGTGACACCTTCACACAGACATACATGCAGGCAAAACACCAATGTACATAAAAGTAAATAAATTATAAAAGAATGTCTTTTTTTAAAAAAAAGGAAAACCATATAGAATAGGTTAGTACTATCAAGAAGTAGCCAGAGAAAGTCCACAGGATACCTGGATATGAGCAGGCAGATTCCATGGGGGCTAATTTTCCCACGGATGGGAGAGCATGTGAGAAAGGTAATGCCAGTGGTGCCCCTTGTCTTCCTACAGAGGCTTCTGATAGACGGCCATCTAAGAAGCTGATGAATGACACTCCTACTTGCCTGGAATACTACAAGCTAATAACAGGCATACTAAGATTCGGTTACCAGTTCCTTCCTGGTGACCTCTGACAGAATGCACAAGGAAAGAGTGATCTAACATACAAAGCAGTGATGGTTCACTTAGACCCCAGCAATATGGGAAGAACATCTCTGAGTTAATCCTTGACTGTTCCTAGAACACCCCTTCTAGATGTTACCTGACTTGAGTGGTGTAGATCCTTAGGTTTCTGGTTGCTGCACTCAAAGGCTAGTTCTAGCAATGCCCTGGGGTAGTCAACCCAGCCAGTTATAGGAGGATATATAAACCTCCTAAGTCTCAAAAGTTGGTGAAACTTGGGTGCAGCAGAGGTAAAATAATTATTTCAATACAAACAGAGTTCTGAAGGAGATGGTTTTTTTGCTTGTTAAAGAAAAGCCTAGGGGGCTGGAGAGATGGCTCAGTGGTTGAGAGCATTGCCTGCTCTTCCAAAGGTCCTGAGTTCAATTCCCAGCAATCACGTGGTGGATCACAGCCATCTGTAGGGGGGTCTGGTGCCCTCTTCTGTCCTTCAGGCATACAGACAGAATATTGTATACATAATAAATAAATAAATATTTTTTTTTTAAAAAAAAGAAAAGCCTAAGCAGAGTATGCTTGTAAACCGCAAGGTAAGGCCTGAAACACACCAGGTTTAATGTTTACTGTCTAACTCCTGATAAAACAGCTAAGGTTTTTGAATAATGCTTCCTGATTTTCACTAATGAACACCTCTAGAAAACATTGGGTTGCTTTGCTTCTTGCTAGCCTAGATAATTGGAGGGTTGATAAAAAGAAAAATATTGGTTAGACCCAGGGAGAAAAAGCTTTGGGTGTCTTGGGAAAGGGACAGAGTGCTTGACTGATACAGGAGACAAAGTCAACTTTTCCTCTTCATCCTGTTGTCACTCAAACTAAGTGTATTTCAACTGTCAGATTAACATGGCTTCTCACTGTAGAAAGTTGCCTGCCA